CCGTTGATGTGAATCTACTGGGTGATAATGTAGATACCATAAAGAAAAACATTAACTTCAATTGACGCAAGTAAAGACGTCAGTCTAGAAGTAAACACAGAGAAAACTAAGTATATGTTGCTGTCTCGTCACCAAAATGCAGGGCAAACTCATTATATAAAGAAAAGAAATGGAAGTTTTGAAAATATGGCAAAGTTCAGACATTTGGGAACAACGATAAGAGATCGAAAGCTGATTCACGAGGAAATTAAGAGGCAATTGAACTCGGGTAATGCTTGTTACCATTCAGTCCAGAATCTTCTGTCTTCTTGTCTGCTGTCCAAAAACACAAAAATTAGAATATACAAAACTATAACTTTGCCTTTGGTTCTGTATGGGTGTGAAACTTGTTCTCTGACATTAAGGCAGGAACATAAACTGAGGGTGTTTGAGAACAGGGTGCTGAGGAGAATATTTTGACAGAAGAGAGATGAAGTGAGAGGAGGTTGGAGAAAACTGCATAATGAGGAGCTTCATAACTTGTACTCTTCTCCAAATATAATTAGAATGATCAAGTCAAGAAGGATGAGGTTGGTAGGCCATGTAGCACGGTTGGGGGGACGAGGAATGCGTATAGGATATTGGTGGGAAAGCCCGAAGGAAAGAGACCACTGGGAAGACCAAGGCGTAGGAGGGTGAAAAATATTGAAATGGATCTTAGATAGGATGGTATGGTATGAATTGGATTGATCTGACTCAACATAGGAACCAGTGGAGGGCTCTTGTGAACACGGTAATGAACCTTCGGGTTCCATAAAGTGCTGGGAAACTCTTGAGTAGTTGCAGGTTTATCTTCTCCTCAAGAAGGGCTCAGCTCCATAAGAAAGTAAAGAAAGTAAAAAAATTAAAACATATAAAAATGCTATTTGATTCTAACACTTTACAACTTAACATCAGAGCCCGTATAGTGCAGTCAGTACAGCGACTGACTGCGGACTGGATGACCGAGGGGTCGGTGTTAGAGTCCCGATAGGGTCAAGCATTTTCTTTTCTCCACGTCGTCCAGACCGGCTCTCGGGTCCACCCAACCTCCTATCCTTTGGGTACGGGAGGTAAAGTAGCCGGGGCTTGAAGCTGACTGCTCAACTCCAACTAGTTCCGAGGTTAAGAAAAAGTGGATCTATACATCCACTCCCCCATACGTTTTCATGGCGTAGTGCTGAATTAGTTATGTACAGGGACAACTTTACCTTTTACGTTTTTACAACATAACATCATATTTAATTTCACCACCACATAAAAAGAGTCACGATTCTATTGTCAGATTGTAATAACAGTAGAATTATGCATGGGAGTAGCAAACATATCACAAAACGTCACTAATTCGAAATCTGTGTGATTCAGTCTTGATTTATTCTACAAATGTACACGTATATTTCACTTATGCAGAGCGGAGACCTTCCCTGAGCGAGAATGTATTGATATAATATCTCACCCCCTCTTCTGCTTAGTTACATATCAAAATACATGTAGAGCATCTCATTTAAACAGAATACAACAAGTTTTTTCAATTTTTTATTCTGAATATAAACATTTTCTAAAATGTAGTTTCTCCTTGCGTTTGTGTCTTAAGGACTTCCATGTTCACCTGTGTTGTTGGATAGTAAATAGATTTTCTTGTTTTATGAAAAAAAAACTTGAAAATATTTGCCTAAAATTATATTTCATAATGGTGATAAGCGGTAGCGTAGTTGGTTGAGGCACTGTTCTTCAAGTCGGAAGGTCGCGGGATCGATTCCCGATGAGGTCATTGGATTTTCCAGTTTAGCTAATTCTTCCAGCTGCACTATGGCCCTGGAGTACCAGGAATTTTCCGGGGGGTGAAGAGCTGCCTGCGTGTAAGGATGACAACATCACTGTCATCTGTGAGCCGATTGTGTAGAGAATGTTGGAGTCTCTACGCCTCACAAGCCTTTGGGCCTCCACAGCCTGTTACAAGGAGAGCTTTACGTTTTTATATATGTCATAATTCGGACCATTGTCCCAGTTAGTCTGAAAGGATTATTAAGGTTTTACTGTCGTTTCAATATTGGCTCCTTGATATTTGCATATTTTGTCGTTGATGTTGATTCATGGTAGATGCCCCTATAAATATATTGTAGCGTGTTGCCTATGTAACGCGACAAATAGATTCACTCAGGTCTCGGATCTAGCGAATAAGTTTATTGGCCAATCTCCTCTACACTTCCAAGTACGTACAATTACCATCCACTTATAACGTCTTCAGACGTTTCTTAGAACACTGTTATAGTTCTTTCTTGCACCGCTAATCTCTGTGAAGTCTTCTGTTCCCTCGGAGCTACTCTTCTGAGATCAGCTACAAACTGCACGGTCTAGAACTCAACTGTAAACTGTCTTGTAAAGTCAAAGTCAAAGTCACATTGTTACTGACGGCCAGTGAGTCAGTAAGTCTTGGTGTCGAGCCCCATCTGGGGCTCATGACCAGATATTATTATTGCTTCACAGTTACGGTCTTGTTTTTGGGGCTCCCTCTCTAACGAGAGGACGGGTCTGTCTTTTATATATGCTGCTGGTCCTTGCCAGCGCAGTCTTTCTTGGGTCTGAGACCCTTGGGACTCTCGACCATATTTTACTGTCTCGTCCCTTGGAAGCTGGATTTTTATAACCTGGTCTCGGACGGAATATAACGCACCATGTAGGAGCCTTTGGTCTCAGCCATTGTCATGCCAAGAACCCCCTGTTATCCTTTCATCTCCTTGGAAATGCGTTTATTGCTTAAGGTATTCCTAAGCAACGACCCGCTGGTATTTCTTTTCCATGGAAGTATACACTCTGAGTTCCTGGCGGCACGTGACAATATTGTTGCAAACCAACATTACAGGTATTCAACTTTTCATTCAGAAATTAAATAATTTTGTTGTACTAGTCCAGCTAACGTTTATAGCGAAATGTATTATAAATATAAATTTTAGAGCTGATTGATAATTTACAAAGTTTAAATTTCATCTCGTTCAAGCGGAGATTATGCTGGACCGTTACGAAATAACATTAAATTTAATTTAAATTTTAGTGGGATCCCTAATATATCAATTTTATGTGAAGTATGTACAGTAATTTTGGGAATACAAAACGCTGATATAGAATAACACCTCTCCATTATATGTTCATTTTCCTCTCCATGTTAAGAACGAATATACTATAATAAGCAGGGACCCAATATTGTGGAAGAACTGGTTAGGGGGCTTGCTTTATATTTGGGAGGTCAGGTGTTCATATCTCGACCCGGAGATTAGGTTTACTGACTAAGGAATTTCGTAGTCCGTACATGCAAATAGCAGGTAGTACCTTAAATTAGGCCACGACCACTTCCTTCCACATCCACTCCAGTCCATTGTTCACTATCCAGTCGACGCTATGAAATCTGATATCATGGAAGGTAATTAAATGAGCTATAAATAAAGAAGTTGAATGTATAAGGTAACCTTTCTCCAAACTCACAACTTTTACATGACATGTAACATCATGAACATTTCATTCGCATTGGCAGTAAAACAAAGAAGAAAAAACAACATAAATTGTCGATGTTTTTAATTCACCACACTTGTAACAAACTAACCAACAAACTGAGTCCAGGATGCACATTGCTTTGAGCAGTTTCAGAGCAAAGCGATGTAAGAAACAAGCATGAAGCAAGCACAGAGATAAACTGATTTATTGTTTGGCTTGCTCTTCGACTTCACCGGAAAAGCAGCGAATATTTTGTGTTACCCGCTGCTTAGGGAAGTGTCTGAGGCTGCGCATAACCGGAGCTCTGCTGTTTCAGTTTCGTGATGTAGCATGAATCAATTTTCAAGTACGGACACCATGATTTCTTCCTCCCCAGTCCTCTTTCTTGTTGCACTTTCATAAATATTCTCTCATCATATTCGGAGAAAAGTTATTTTCTGTAGTTTATAGTATAATATCCTCAGATAACATGCAAAATCACCGTCGGAATGTCTTGGGCCATCAATATTACTATCAACTATACCGATTGAACTGTCGTGAACTTGAAGGTCTGCTTTTACAAGTGATATAAGATGTCACTAGAAACCGAAGTTAAGTCCAAGCTACGTAGTTCACGCGTTCTTCCGCAGATGGCAGAATCTGACACACACTGCTGGATGCGCTATCTTACGGTGGAAGTTTTAATCATATAGAATGTCCCCGGGAAATCGAACGCTTGAATTCTATTGATATAATATTATGAAAGGGTAGTGGGTTTCAAACTGAGGTTCGCGAGGTTCAGGGAACAAAGAAAATAAATTAGGATGCCTACCAAGAAAAGGGGAGTGTCTATATTATTTTACGTAAATTCACAAAGCGTTGCCATGGATGACGCTGACTTAATAAAATCTTTACTGTTCTATATTGTAACAGTTTTAGTTTGCTTCCAATTTCTTGGCTTCCACTTTGTTATATTTACCTCTAGTTTTCTTTTCTTACCTTTCATTTCATCCACTTCCCTTTCCTTTCCTTTCTTTATGCCTTCAGCTACACAGTTACAAATACTAGAACAAGTTCTGTTGTTATAAATTTGAATTCCCTTGTACATGACAGTAGTATACAAACAGACAGGCAAGGAAGCAAATGAACAGACGTGCAAATATACAAACATGTATACATACCTACATACTATCACGCGATAGAGTGACTGTGATGGGATTCGTTTGGTAATTGGATATATTGAACGCTTACAGATCATAACTACAAGTAACTATAGCGTTAGACCGCGCCATAGCTCAAGCGGTTAGTCGCTGGCTTCCCACCGCGGCGGTCCGGGTTCGATCCCGGGTCTGGTCAAGTGGGATTTGTGGTGGACAAAGTGGTGCTGGGGCAGGTTTTCTCCGAGTACTTCGGTTTCCCCTGCCAATCTTCATTCTACCAATTGCTCCACAATCACCCTCACCTATCATCTGGGGCTGGTACAATAGGCCAGAATTGGCCGCAGTACAAGGGACTTAGCCCCACCCCACTAGCAATAAAAGAAACTATAGCGCTATCGCTACTTCACACATTCTGCAGCTCGCTAGAGCAGGTATTAACTCATCTCAGTCTGCTGAGTCTTCACCAGTCGTTGTCTGGTAACAGCTTCCAACGCCGGACGTTCTCCTTTCTCTGGCTTCCCGAAGTGTGTCCTTGCCTCAGCTACCAGCTTCTCTTAGTAACAAATCATTAGGTCCTAACCTCAGCAGTCCTCTAATTAACTGACTCCTCACTTCATTCCACTGTACTCAACTGCACTGCACTCACTTGGTCGGTCCAGTGACAGCCTGGAAGCGGTCTATAGGAAACACCACTTCCAACAGCACTTCCACTGTCGCTCCTGAGCCGCTTCCTATCAGCGGCTCCAGTATTGTTGCATATTAACGAAGCTGTTGCCTAGCAACGGTCGCTGTCTCGTTATTTGTTTCGCGATCGTTGTCTAGTAACAGGTCAATATGTCACAATACATACAGCCAGAGTACATGCATACATACATACATGGATGAATGTCTGTGTGCGTTTATTCTGTTTGAGTTATTCTGCGTGTAGGTAGCGGCCTTGGGACGGGCTGATCCCCCATCGAAGGAGTCTTATGGACCGTGTGAGGAACATAAGAAGTGGCCAAGGCCTACAAGAGATGTACAGCCATGGATAAGTAGATAGTTAGATAGATAGATAGATAGATAGATAGATAGAAATTGCTTGTTGAGATAAATAATACGTCGAACTGAGACGGAAGGAATACTAGAGAACTGCATCCTAGAGCGGGGATGCGTTCAAACAAACGTGAGCCCTAGGAGAGTTGTTAGCAGGGCGTGAGTGAAGACTTAGTAAATGTTAACTTTCTCAAGGAATTCATTATAAATGTTGACCTCGTATTTTTCTAATGAGAAAATCAGGAGAAAAAACATGTTTTTTGACAAAATCGAAAACGTCATTAATTCTGAGATTTATAAGCAAACTAAGTAGAAATTACAATATTAAGAAGAAAGTCGTCTTCTGGGAAGTGGGGCCGGGTAGACATTGCATTGTCACGTGACAAATAACTTTACATGGGTCTCGGATTTAGCGAATCTTTACTGGACACTCACGCTTACACACCTTACAATTATTGTCACTTGCAGTATCACTTGACTTGTGGCCCAGTATTCAATGCGACGTCTCAACTATCCTTGGCCGTGGTTGGATCTCAACTGTCTTTGGAGACGGCTATCCCAATGCTGTCTCGTTCTCAATACTCCATTACTCCAATCTTCAATACTCCATTACTCAATACTCAATATTCCAATCTTCTTCCGTTCGAGGCCAGGCCCTTTACATAAGGCGCACGCGGACTCAATAGAGGACACCCCTCACCAAGGTTCGATCTCACGTGTTCGGCAATCCGTTGCTTCAGGAACGCTCCCTATAGATTACACCGATAACGTGTTTCGTCTCATCCGTTGTTACTCAAAGATCGATTTGTCGCTGTGGGAACTCTACAGTTTCCACGTATTCGTTGCCATGGAAGTGTGCGTTCCGATTGTAGAGGTTGTGGCGGTGATGGACGAAAGGTAACTCGTCACAGCATTAACCGACGTTTCGGGGGAACGTATCGCCTTCATTTTCAGGGTAGTCCGTCAGCACCTGCTCACGCTGGTTCCTCGCTTGCGGATTTTTCTTCTTTATCCTTCTAGCATGAAGATGGAGGCGATAAATTCCTGCGAAAAGTCGATTAAGTTAGTCTGTCGGCACCTGCTCTCGCTGGTTCCTCCCTCGCGGATTTTTCTTTTTTCTTCTACCATGAAGGTGAAAGCGAAACGTTCCTCCGAAACGTCGGATAACACAATATCTTCACGGTGCCACATCCCAGATGACGGTTTTCTTCAGTCGCCACCGTAAAAACATCAAATCTTATATAATATTAAGAAATGATAAAAGGAAAATTAGCAATTTAAGCTCCTCGTAATCACCTTCTTCACATTTATTTTTAACGATCCGGAAATCCGGTTATCGATTGCGCACGGCTGCCGTGCGAGGCAATGTTCGTTGTTTTGATTCGCAAAATCTATACCATGTTGCCGCTCAGGGCAGAACGAATGCTGCCGCGGCCGAACTTTGGGAGTGTAGAGCTAAATTGGAGCGCTTCTTTGTCCCGCGGCAAAGGGATTTCAGTGTGCTGTGCTCTTTCAGTTGAGACTGTCTTGTGGCGTTCCGGTGTTTCTTTCGTGGAAACATGGAGAATGAAAAGTGTCTAGCTCCCATACAGCGTTATAAATCTAAAGAGGTATTCTGGAATTCAAACAGTGTCTAGCTCCCATACAGCTTTATAAATCTAAAGAGGTTTTGTGGAATTCAAACAGTGTCTAGTTCCCATACAGCTTTATAAATCAAAAGAGGTATTGTAGAATTCAAACAGTGTCCAGCTCCCATACAGCTTTATAAATCTAAAGATTTATTGTGGAATTCAAACTGTGTCTAGCTTCCAGATAGCTTTATAAATCTAAAGAGGTATCGTGGAATTCAAAGAGTGTCTAACTCCCATATAGCTTTATAAATCTAAAGAGGTTTTGTGGAATTCAAACAGTGTCCAGCTCCAATACAGCTTTATAAATCTAAAGAGATATCGTGGAATTCAAAGAGTGTCTAGCTCCAATACAGCTTTATAAATCTAAAGAGGTATCGTGGAATTCAAAGATTGTCTAGCTCCCATACAGCTTTATAAATCTAAAGAGGTATTGTGGAATTCGAACAGTGTCTATCTCCCATACAGCTTTATAAATCTAAAGAGGTATTGTGGAATTCAAACAGTGTCTATCTCCCATACAGCTTTATAAATCTAAAGAGGTATTGTGGAATTCAAACTATGTCTAGCTTCCATATAGCTTTATAAATCTAAAGAGGTTTTGTGGAATTCAAACAGTGTCTAGCTCCCATACAGCTTTATAAATCTAAAGAGGTTTTGTGGAATTCAGACAGTGTCCAGCTCCCATACAACTTTATAAATCTAAAGAGGTATTGTGGAATTCAAACAGTGTCCAGCTCCCATACAGCTATATAAATCTAAAGAGGTATTGTGGAATTCAAAAGTGCTAGCTCTCATATTGCTTTATAAATCTAAAGAGGTATTGTGGAATTCAAACAGTGTATATATCTCCCATACAGCTTTATAAATCTAAAGTACTGTGGAATTCGAAACTTGCTAGTTACCGTAACAAAATTATAGGCGAGGAAGCATGGAAGGACATAGGTAACAAAATGAAAATGCCACTTAATGACCGTGGGGATTCGGCCGGTATAGTTCGCTTGCGGACTCAAACCACGTTCTTTGTGTTGTTGATGGCAACTTTATTGGCTTCATTCAGAAGAAGAACGTCCCGAATTACGAAGTCTCAAATAACAGTTTCTGGTACGAACATATTTATTAAATTGCCAGTGTACCACTCTCACTATCTGTAATTATGTTAATAAACTAATAATTTATTGTTTATTTACAGCAACAGATATTGTTTACGTATCTATTTCCATATTGCATTCCACCATCAAACCGCGCACTTTTCTTTTCCGTTTCTTTTTCCTTCGATACGGCACGTGCAGTGTTCACGTGATCTCGCGGGAACTGAGGAACAGCGTCGACCAACAGGCGCACGCGGCTGCCTCGCCTCGATGCTGGACACAACACCGTAAACAAGCGAACGAGTTTGCCGCGCACGAACAGCGGCGCGCAATCGATACCCAGCTTAAGAAACAGCATTTCAAGGGTAAAATATTCAGACTAACAGGATATTATGGAACAGAACTGTAGGCCAAATTAATTACAGCCTAGTTTATTGAAATCATAATCGAAATTCAAATTTATTTCGATCGCAGCGCTAGTGCACCTTCAGTAATTCCGGTTGACGCAACATTCATAGGAATTGTAAAGGCTTCAAGTTTCTCGACCAGCGGAGCGACTAATAGCTTCTAACGAAGTATTTTACAAGGTGTAGTTGGTTATGACTATACATATGTCATAATTCAAATTATCATTGATGTTTCTTATTTATAGCATAAAACTCTATAGTAACTTTATCATAAAAGTATTCGGACCAGCATTTCTCAAATTTCCGGCAACTGCTTATCATTGCACGGCCGGCCAGCGCATGCGCGAACGAAACAACTGTGCTCATACGAGGAAAATTACAGTTGCCGTAAGACGCCTTTCCTCTCCACCAGAATAAAGTAATCTCTTTGAACAACAATTCCTAATAATTTTCCAATTTTCAATTATTTGACTTATTACATCATATATTGTATGGGCCATATTGTGACATGTTGAACCATTGCCAAGTAACAGCTTTGTAAACAGGAGACAGTACAAGAGCCGTTGCTAGGGAACAGCTCTGTTGACAAATTTCCCCGGGAATTGGGAAACACGCAATGATTTATGAGACGTTTCCTTTGCGGTCCGTGCTGAGGCTATATAACGAGGATCTGCTGCGATTACGAGAGAGTCATGAGAGGGCAGTTAGAAGAGTAGGAAGTTGTTGTGAGATGGCCGCCAGTCTGCGAGGACGTGAGCCCGGGAGCAGAAAAACGTCCACTGTTGGAAGACGTTAGCAAGCAACGCAGTGAAGACCGTGACTAAGAACCCTAGTTTGTGCGATAGTGGTTTGTAAAGTGTAGTCACGAATTGACTAAGAGTCCAATAATTCCGATTACCAATCCAAACTCCATATACAGCCACTCAGTCACGTGACAGTATGATAATACGAAACATCTTGCAGCCCTCCGGCGACCACCAGTGGTCCGCTGATCAAATTTTGAGAAATACTGGTCCAGTTCTTTATGCAAGGAATGACAGGATGAGTTAGTAGAACGTCTTGGGATCAAGACCAGTTTGGGATTATACATGAGAGAATTTAATTAACTTCCAGTAGAGCCATGACTAACCACAGAAGCAGTGTCGGCATGGAAGCTGCGGACAATGGCGCCCTCGAGGGACCTAAGCCGGCGGTTGTGGCTATCGCATACTCCTCTAGGAAATTGACACGCACTTCTGATGTCCTGTCAATTCTCAGGTATGGCCCTGTCTCTGTAGACATTGCAGGCCAAAATGAGACGCCATTTGCAGGGGCAGGATCACTGGAAACAGGAGCAAATCATATGTAATTAATTAGTTAATTTATTCGTGTTTCGTCATACTGCACTTGCAGGGCTCAAAATTACCTTTCTGCTCGTTTATGATGGTTGAAAGATGAAGGTTGAGAAGCGGAAATATCACTAACACTATTAGTTAATATTTAGTTGAACTTTCTAGTTTTGTTCGTTCACAAATGTCGAAAAGTTAATCTGCACCTGACTCGGAGACAATGACTTTTTACCGCGTGCTTAAACTTTCAACGGAATTGAAACGGCGTGAATCGAAGCGGGTTCTTTGTGGAGAGAATTCTGATGAGTAACAGCTTTTCCTGAATGCTGCGCTGAACCAACTTGTGTTTACCCTAGGAGTAGTACGTTTTTTAAATCGTTCGTTTTTATTCGTACTCAGTTTTAAAGCTCCCATTTTAACCACTGTCGTGTACAGCGGTAAGTAACTATGTTTCGCCTTGAATGTAAATTGTAGAAGTACTTAATGTTCGTCAATAATGTGAAACACGTAGACTTCCGCTGTGATCTTATGTGTTATTACACCGTGTGGTCTGGTCACATGTCGCATTTACAGATTTAATTTTCAGGGTGGTCATTCAGGTTTTGATACAAGAAGAACAAATGAATAAAAAATGAAACATTATTATTAAATTTCGTAATGAAATTTATATATTTTTACATTTATCCATTTCAAACGTATGAGTATATTATTATTGAATTGCAGAACTAAATGTATCAGTTTTTACCATATGACTCAACAGTTCAGTAATAATATATTTTATATATTTGTGTAAGAATCACCTGATCATGATACATGCGACAGAAATATACAGCAGTCGAATGAAACAATAAAATTGATTAAACAATTGAAAATAAAAGAGTTTATTAAAACTTAATTTAAATCATTGTTTTGTCAACAGCTTTGGTACAACAGTTTTATTAAACAGGATGTAAAAAATGAATAAAATAATTTTAATTGTATGTTTAAGTTCAGATGGTCTTGTAGTAGTGAAGATTCGTAAGGTCTATTATGATTCCCTGAATGGCTGATAGCAATCTTTCGGAATGCCATTGCCCAACCGCATGTATCACTTTAATGTAAAACAGAAGTGCTTTATGAATTCTCTTTCATTACTGAATTTCGTTAACTCAAGAGCACTCGAAATTAGTATACACTTCGGGGAACAAGAGTTTCTGAGGTGGTTAGAATAGACATGACACATACCTATATGCAGCAAAATTAGTCCATAGTTCTACCACTGTGCGCGAGATGGCACGATCTTCTGAATTCAGGACTACACTTGGCAGCGGAAAGAGGTAGAGAAGGTCGTCAGAATGGGCCACGCCTGTCAGAGAAAAATAGAGGAGAAATCGCGTTTCCGCAAAGTTGACTTCAAACCAAACATGTCCTGATTAGGTAAGCAAGAATTATTAGCGTTTAGAAGACCAATGGTAAAACTGTTTATTGTGCTACGCAGTCCGTCAATAATGCAAAAAATTGTTCCTTATTTCCTACACACTCACATACGACAGAACATGTCACGGCCCGAAATCAATAACTTCAGATGTCTAACAATTTTGAAACTGCTACATTGCACTAATATTGTCCTTTCGTCGAATTTGTCACTGCGCGCTTCATGATTTAAATCGACACACTCGTAGTCAATTGGTATGCGCTACAACAGAACACTCTGTAGTTCGCTTAATTTAAACCAACAAAATTCATTACAATTTATATTCAAATTTTCTGTTATAAATCTTTTTCGATTTGAATTCTTATTACACCTCACAAGGGGCGACGTCCACTTGTTTAGATCTGTATCCTCTAATCCAGACGTTTAATGCGGCAGCCTGTTTTTCTATTCATAATCCCGTTGTTGTGTTACGTCTGCAATCTGTAATTCTGCTCCTAGCTTGTGCGTTGGTCCCTCTAGCAACGTGTGGTGTTGTCTTCACTACAGGATTGCGAAGACCAAAAAGCCAGCAAACCCGAGTTACACGCACCAACGTCAGAACCGTCTAGAACCTTCCAGATTGAAGGTTTTTGAGAACGGTGCTAAGACGAATATTTGGAGCGCTGAGGAGAAGGTAACAAGGGGATGGGAAAGCATTGTACAGGACGACGGGGTTTCCCTTAATTTCTACTCTGACAGGAATATTAGTAGGATGATTACATCAAGGAGGAGCGGATGGGTTGGACATATAGCACTCTCAGAACTGATTAGAAATACATACAAATTTGGCAATGCTCAGCTTCTTATCTAACTCGATATTTGTGAAGTCGACAGTCGAAAGAAATACCTAAGCAGTTGAGAATACGTCAGGTTTCAACAAATATTCCTTGCAAGTATATGTTACACGTTATAAATGCTCAGAGAATATGATGACACTGAAATTGACGTATTAATGTTTATAATTTAATACTTAGACACGCACATGTTATTACAGGCTACTGTTAACAGGAAAAGCATGAGAGTTCGGGTATAAACTTATTACAAGACTAAATATGATACATACTGTAACGTGTTTTGCTACTGAAGACGCCGTTCAGATTGTTAATTGGTTTATTTAACAACCTACAAGTCTTGGCTACAATTAATTATAACACTGTTACGGGTTTACACAAGTTACAACCCTACACAATTATCTGTCCACTCTGTCCTCAGTATTCACAGTACGGGAGCTATACAAGTGTCACTGTATTACACACTCCCAGTTACTTCTCTTGTGAGCCAAGCAGCTGCTTCTCACGCTATCGCTTCTACTCACACGTTCCGGTATCCTTCTTTCCGTGTTCACAATTCGCACTGTCACCCCTGCTCACACACTGACTGCTGACTCCCTGCCTAACACGTAACTCACTGTGAATAGTGTTCGCTGCTTTTAATTTAGCCCCGTTACGGACAACACAGAAAACAGTTACGTAATAGGCACCACGGTTGCGTAACTTCGTGTTTACCGACTGCCTAGGAACAGTCCCCGTCGTGTTTACAAAGGCGCTGCTGGGCAGCGGTGCCGGGAGTTGTTTACGTCTACGTAGCAACTGCGGCGTCCCGTGTTACGTCACCGCGGGGAAAGGGGTGTCTACCAAGCGTTTAACACTGATAGAATGAATGGGGGTATGTGACGTCACTCGCAAGATCACGGTGTTCACGCGACCCCCGACTTCCACTGGGAGTACCTTCATCGTTAAAATCCATTACCAGCATTAATTTGCATTTCAACCAAGCGCAAGAGAAGACTGTGACTACGAAATAACGTGAAGGAACTATGAAAATGTCTGTAAACATAGATCTGTCTGGTTCGGATATGGAGCATGGGGCGGAGAAGATTCATGCTTTTTTCTCCGCCGAAACAGAGGGTTACAGCGGCTCTGTTCATGACGAACTACGAGAGAGCACAAATCTGTCCCGAGACTCGACAAGCAGCGGCTGCTTCGGTTGAGTCCGAACATGCTTGAGTGTCAAAACGATTTGGACGTCGACGATGACATTTATGACAAGAGTTACCCAGAAAACACGGGAAGCTCAAGAAACACCCCCGAGACTGGTACACCGGCACCTGCTTCGAGTGGATAAGAGGATGGGTACATGAGAATATCACAGCAAACGGCGACGGCCAAAGCACACGCAACGTCGATGGTGATAGCTCAGCAAACGGCGATAACAAGAGCCCAGTGACCAGCGCTTGCGAGAGCACAGCCAGCGGCGAGGGGGATATCACACACAACGACGATGGCGAGACCACTGCCAAGGGCGAACGTGACCGCCCAGCGAAAGACGACAGAGAAAGCCCAGTGACCAGCGATGGCGAGGGCGACAGCACACACAACGACGACGGCGAAAGCACAGCCAACGGCGAGGGCGACGGCCCAGTGACGGGCCACAGCGAGATCACAGTGTTCACGCGACCCCGACCTCCCGCTACGCCATCCACGTTACAATACATTAAATATTCAAACACTGAGCACAAAGACAGAAATCTATGGGGTATAAAATAATCTGACCTAGTTACAGGGGATTCTGATTCAGTGTAATATATTGTGACGTATTTGCGCTATGCAGGACACCCCTCCCCCAAGCGGTGACGTAACACATTTAGCGTGTTGCCCCTGCTACTGTAATAGGCCAGTCAAAACCCCGCCCCCTCCCGTGGTGACATGACCAAGGATTGCCACGGTTGCTATGCAGCAGTAAACAACTCCTTACAGCGTTGCTAGGCAATCGGCAAACACGGCGTCAGGCAACAGCTGTATCTATCACGTATCTGTTTTCTGTCTTGTCCGTTCCGAGGCTAAATAAGGAGCAGCGAATATCATTCAGTAGTGGATAGTGAGTCAGTAGTTAGTAGTGAGTGATTAGTTAGTGAGTCGTGAGTATTGAGCCAGTTACTAGAGAAAGAGTAACCAGTTAATTTCAGTCTAGTAGTTGTGATACTGCCGATGGCAGTAATTGGGAGATTGTAAATGGTGTGACTGAAGGGGAGAATGTGCAATAGATTCGCTATATCGAATAAGACGTGAAGAGTTCTGTCACCTTATACACCCGACACGTGAAAATATTATCTTGCGGGGCGGTGCGAACCCTCATTCAAAGGACAACTGATGGGATGCCTCAATGGGATTAGGAGAAAGTGATGTTTACACAGTTGTTGTCACTGCTTGGAAAGGGAACGCATCAAGTTCACTTCAATGGGGTTTCTGGGTCTACGGAGAGGACGCACGGGCCGCAGTAACCGTGGCCGGAAGCCTCCTACTGCTCTTAGTTGTTGCACTGATTTAATCTGCATGTTTTTTCTTTGGAATAATTCTTCGGATTGCAGCAGCGAATCAGGTGCTTAGCTCTCGCTATCTTGGTGTCCCACACATATCATATGTATGTGAATGCCCTAACAGTATCTGATGGAGAGTGTGTAGTTATGCAATACGCAGTTCGTTCTGTCCTTCTGTTTTTTTTTAAATAAAAATAATCGCTTACTTTAAGAAGAAAAATAGACATAACACAGAAACAGCGGCCCGTGCATCCTCTCCACAGACCCAGAGACCCCATTGAAGTGAACTTGAGGCGTGCCCTCTCCAAGCGGTAAGAACAACTGTGTGAACATCACTTCCTCCTATCACCAGTGAGGCAGAGGCTACCCCCAGTTGTCCTAAGAAAGAGGGTTGGCACCGCCCCGCAGGACAATATTGTGACATGTTGACCCCTACCTCCCCAGCGGTACGTGGCGGTAACGTAACGCTCCCGTTCTTACGGTAATAGGCGAGTTCCCGCCCCGCCACTCCCCTCCGCGGTGACGTCACCGAGGGATATCGCGGTCGCTAGGCAACGCGAGTCAACAGCGGCGACGTTACGATAGTAACAGCGGTTACCTCCGCTAGCGTTACATAGCAACACAGCGCCAGGCAAAAAGGGTGCCTATTACGCGGCCGTTTTCCGTATGGTCCGATCGAGGCTACATGAGGCGCAGCGAAGGCTATTCAGAGAGTTGTTGTTGTACTGAGTTGTACTGAGACAGTCAGCGAGTCCTGGAGCTACCGCCGAGTTAGCCAGTAACCAGTCAGTTGTATTGTGGCATTTTTCAGTGTACTAATTGTGATACTGCAGATAGCAGTAATCGTCAGATTGTAATTTGGGTGATGGTAAGAGCGAGTGTGAAATAAAATTCGCTACATCGAATACGTCGAGAAGTTATTTGTCGCGAGATACCCCGCGATACGCGACAATACATTGCACTGAATCAGACTCCCCCGCAACTGGGTCAGATTATTTTGTACCCTGTAGATTTCTGTCTTTGTGTTGGGTGTTTGAATGTTTAATGTAGTTATCATATTTATTCTTATAAATGTTTATACCGAACTCTCATGCTTTTCCTATTAACAGTAGCCTGTAATAACATGTGTGTGTCCGTAAATTTCAATGTCATCTTCTCTGAGCATTTATAACGTGTAACATATCCTGCAGGGAATATTTCTTGAAACCTGACGTATTCTCAACTGCTTAGGTATTTCTTTCGACTGTCGACTTCACAAATATCGAGTTAGATAAGAAGCTGAGCATTGCCAAATTTGTATGTATTTCTAATCAGTTCTGAGAGTGCTATATGTCCAACCCATCCGCTCCTCCTTGATGTAATCATCCTACTAATATTCCTGTCAGAGTAGAAATTAAGGGAAACCCCGTCGTCCTGTACAATGCTTTCCCATCCCCTTGTTACCTTCTCCTCAGCGCTCCAAATATTCGTCTTAGCACCGTTCTCAAAAACCTTCAATCTGGAAGGTTCTAGACGGTTCTGACGTTGGTGCGTGTAACTCGGGTTTGCTGGCTTTTTGGTCTTCGCAATCCTGTAGTGAAGACAACACCACACGTTGCTAGAGGGACCAACGCACAAGCTAGGAGCAGAATTACAGATTGCAGACGTAACACAACAACGGGATTATGAATAGAAAAACAGGCTGCCGCATTAAACGTCTGGATTAGAGGATACAGATCTAAACAAGTGGACGTCGCCCCTTGTGAGGTGTAATAAGAATTCAAATCGAAAAAGATTTATAACAGAAAATTTGAATATAAATTGTAACGAATTTTGTTGGTTTAAATTAAGCGAACTACAGAGTGTTCTGTTGTAGCGCATACCAATTGACTACGAGTGTGTCGATTTAAATCATGAAGCTCGCAGTGACATAGCCGACGAATGGACAATATTAGTGCAATGTAGCAGTTTCAAAATTGTTAGACATCTGAAGTTATTGATTTAAGGCCGTGACATGTTCTGTCGTATGTGAGTGTGTAAGAAATAAGGAACAATTTTTTCATTGTTGAAGGACTGCCTAGTACAATAAACTTTATTAGATATATTAACGCAACAAGATGCTTCAATAGAGTATTGCACAATGGTAGATATTGGCCTCTGTAACAACTGCTATAATATTAAAAATCTATTAAGTTTCCTCACAAAATATACTTATTTATTCGGTATGATCTTCCCAACAAACAGCAACTACTCGAATTTCATTGAACAGCATAGATCAGTATGTCTCTGTAATGACGATGCTGTTTGGAATTAAAATACAAGTATAATCGCTTTCAGATGAATTTGAGGATATCTCAGTCTGTATAGCGAGGAGTGAGGGGCTGGGCGACCTGTTTCGATTCGCGTCAGGGGCAAGAAATATTCCTGTTCCCCACAGTACTCAGACTGGGGCCCATCCAGCCTCCTACTCAATGCTTAGGGAGGGGGATCTGTTTCCCCGGGAGGTTAAGTGACCAGGGCCTCAAGTTGACCCCTCACCTGCACACAGTGCCCAGAACAAGAATAGTGAAGGTCATGGCGTGGTGCCTAAGTACAGGGGCAGCTTTATCATTGCCTTAGGAGCGTTAAGTTATTTCTAACCCAAATATAACCCAACACCAAGAGAACGAGCGTGTATAAATGAGTCTGGGTAATGACGTACTTACTGTCTACATCTCGGAGCTGGGATAGCGTAGTTGGCATACAGGTGCTGGAGTTCGTGTCCCGGAAGGGTCAGGAATTTTCTCTTCTTCACGTAGTCCAGATCGATTCTGGGGTGCACCCAACTACCTATCCAATGGTTACCTGGGGTAAAGCGCCCGGGTGTGAAGGTGACCACGCACCTCCAGCTAGTGCCTAAGTAGAGAAAATGTGGATGTATGCATCCACTCCCCCACACATCTCCATTGCGTAGTGCTTATTTAGTTAAGCATAGGGACAGCTTTCCCTTTACTGGCCACATGTTTTGGGCTCCAGGGTCCCAAGTTGGGAAAGTAACAAAATTTGTAAGAGGTGTGAGAGAAAGCTGGTCACGAAGGGCAGGGTGGCGGTCCTCCGTAATTGCCCCCTCTCAGGGTCTTCTGCCCTGGTACTGATTGGCCAGTTCTTCTGTCACTGAGGCCAATAGTCTCCGCACCTCGTCTGCACAGCAAGAAGCTTACATAAATTGCTTCTGCCTTGAAGATGGAAGCAATAATTCCCCCCTAAATCTTCCGTAATCATCTCTCATTACCCAGAAGCTCACAAGATGTAGAGTCGGACGCGACGATATGAGGATGTATACTTTTGTACACGTAGGTTTCAATTTTCGTCCTTCGTGGATATTTCTCTCTTGATATTGTTCGCACTCACTCATGGAGCTGAGCCCTTCTTGAGAAGCCGCCAATTGTGTAGCTACTCAAGAACTTCCCAGCATTTTATGGAACCCGAAGGTTTATTACCGTGTTCACAAGAGCCTTCCACTGGTCCCTATACTGAACCAGATCAATGCAATCCATACCATCCAATCTTATTTCTCTTAGATCCGTTTTAATATCGTCATCCCATCTATTTCTTTGTATTCCCAGTGGCCTCTTTCTTTCTGACTTTACTATCAATATCCTATACACATATATATATATATAATTCTTTTCCATTACATTTTAATATTTTATATGCGAAATTTCTTGCTAACGCATATGTAGTACAGTCTTGTACGAGTAAATGCAACACTTTGTTGGTTAAACACCACCTTATCCTTCTTGCCATACATTTTTCGTGTATCTCGACCACATTTGGTCGAAACAATTGAAAACATTACTCATTATCATACCTGTTAGTAAATTAGTTGTTGATTCACATTAAGACTGAAAGTTTTGTGAGCCTCTGTTAGCAAGAACCGCGGAATTTTAATTTTCAGACTGACTGCGATTAGTAAAGAAAATTATAGATGCAGTTGGTACGTCAAACACGGGACACGTGGCACTCTGCTATAAGCACAAGGTCGCGGGTTCAATTCCCGATGAGTTTATTGGAATATTCAATTGACCTAATACTTCCAGCCACAATTTGGCCCTGGGGTCGACTCAGCCTCTAACAGAAATGAGTACCAGGAATCTTCCTGGGGGTAAAGGGCGGCCGTGGCGTGATGCTGACAACCTTACCGCCATCTGTGAGCCGACTATCATGAAAGTGTGGGAGCCTCAACATCTCACAACCCTATGGGTCTCCACGGCCTGTTTCAAGGATAGCTTTACCTTTCTTTTACCACAAAGGGAACATATTACAGAGAACTGTCTCTGTTTTCTTCTGAGAACCACCCCACATCTGTAAATACTCGTACAATGCGTGAAACATACAAAGTTTTTAATTTTGAAGCAGAAGTTACACATGCTTCTCACTTTGGAGCGAAAGGGGAAGCTTACCTCCAGGGAATGGGTAATCGACCGGTACTCCATATCCGAACTTGGTGTGCTCCCCAAAATAATTGAAGGAGTAGAGAAAGCTGCGCTGTTGACGTGAGTTCTCCAGCAAGAACCGAAACGTCGCGGCCTTCAGTAACGCAACACCGCAGATCTGTAGAACACAACATAGAGATCTGCTCATCTTTAGTGGCAGTGCGTGTAGCACGCACAATGGAATAATGGCCCAAGTTAGGTAGTCTGGAAAACCTCAAGAGGAGACCCAGTTCATTTGAAGAGCATTATGACGTCATGTACCCCGGTCGAAGTTCATTGACCTTTCCGGGAACCGTATTTCCCCCAGCGGTAATCAGGTAGAAGAGTCCTGTTTACCGCCCTTTTCTTATCTGTTTCTTGCTTGGCTTAGTCTTCGACCTTGAAGATGTAGGCAGCACAGTCTTCCGAAACGTCAGTGAGCTTCTATCGGAATGCACGGCTTTACGTACCAGGAGATAGTACTGTTCTTATTAGTACTTAATTAACCTTAGATTTTCATACAAGGACGACATTATCTTGACTTATTATTATTATTATTGTTCTACAGCTATTTGTTGGATCTTGGCCCCTTTTCAGTTTCTTGAACCTGTACACAGTCGGGAGGGCTCCTTGGATGGGGATCAGTCCTTAGCATGGGCGCTATATACACACAGAACAACACAAACACAGATTAGACACAGAGACATCCACGCCTCGGGTGGGATGCGAACCCACGATCCAAGTATTAGATCATGAGAGGATGGTTCATTCCTGAGACCGCGCGGCCACTCTGATCGGCGAGTGAACATACAGACTCAGCTACAATACACACTCGTGATGTTCCCAGTTCGTGTGGCCTATGAATATCCAGTGTGACGTCATACTTACGTCAATGAGTCCAGGTGTCATGGCTGTGAAGTTACCCAGTTCACCGGACTGGAAGTATTTCTCATTCAAGAGATCCGATATCATGCCTGTTGTGTCTTCAATTCCTGTAATAGTAATTGCATACACTCAGGCGCAAACGTGTAAGGGCGACAGTGTTCCAACCCTTGGCACTCTGTAGCTTTTGTTAGAGACTAGAGCGCGGCGCCGTATTTACTGGTAAAATAAATTACTCTTATGTTTCTGAGATTTTTGGTTTTAATTCCTGAAACATTTCTGTATCATGTTTCCGTTTCTTTCTAGTGCAACACAGGCCTATAGTACAATATATTTTATTCCTGGTTTAATTAACGACTCTTTCAATAGCTAAGATTATATAGCATAGACGGAGGTGGTCATGATTTTGATAAGTTCCGTACCATTGTCCTGGAGACCCTGAAGAGAACCAAGACAATCAAATTACCTTTTCTCATGAAATGTTGCTCGTTACCTGAGTCAAGATTTGAACCCGGGGTCTTCTAAACACCAAGCAGGTGTATTAACTCTTCAGCAATGTGGAGTAATATCATCATCAACAACAACAATAACAACATCGTCATCATCACCATCATTGGTAAAGCATCCCTTTCTGAGTCACAGCCTTCCTTAGAAAGTTCTGCCAGAATTGTCTTGAAGCAGAGCAACCGGTATTCACTTCTTTAGGTCCTTTTTGCTCTTTAACTATCCAGTATTTCCCTCAACCATAATTTTTATTTACAGAGCAAGGTCGTCAGTCTTGGCGTCAAACCCCCAACCTGGAGGTCCAGGTCCACGTATTTATGTCCCTTGGTTACGGGGAGGCCTAGTTATACCCCCAGATATTGGATTCCCATTTCTGTCATTCTACGCCTCGCAGGCTACAGTACAGGTATTCGAACCCTCCCGGACAGGACTTCAGTAATATAGGTCTAATAGTAATTTTGTATAACCTAGGTCAAGGTGATACAAGTTAATATATAATAAGATATATAACATGTCATAATATGCACTATACCTGTATCTATCATTAAAAAAGTAATAGTATAAAAGTTCAAAAGCGAATTGTCAAAAATAAACTTCATTAAAAATATTTTGCTGTGGTAAATGATAGTTTCATTTTTTAAACACAAACAAGTTATCCTACTATACTAAACTTAATAACAATATGACACTCGTTTCTTGCTGATCTCTTTTCACAAATTTTTGCTTGAAAGAAGCGACACGAAATAAGGACTTCATTACTCTGTGAACTTACCACTAAATCTTAAGGTCGTCCTTGTCAAGTTGTGCCTCAAATAGTCTTCGTTATGTAGGAGATTGTACTCTTGTAAAATATTATCGTAAATATCTGTAAACAAACCCGCATATTGGTATTGGAGCCAGAATGCCAAGATAAGGACAATGTCATTTGAACGAACATGTAATTCAATTGACAGTGAAAAAAATTCCGACTCGCGAAATGTATAATTTCTAAGATGAAACAGCTTTATGTGCTTTAAGTAAGTTTGAAATTCTAGATAAGTGAATATTTCGGCATCTAGGAACAAAGTTAAAGAAATTTTGTGCCACCAGACACTCACCTTACAGCAAGGTACTGAGTTTCTACAGGAAAGCTTGCTCCCAGAGACTCGAAGTTGCATACTCCTACAATGAAGGCCGTTGTGATGGGAAGGAAGTTAAAGGAACAGTTATGAAACGTAATCTACTTTTATCCTGGTTAACAGACTTCTTTTTTTAATTCGCTTANAGTGGGGGGGGGGGGTGGAGTCCAACTGGGTCCACTCGGCATGGCGGCCACTGATTGGCCTGCCCCGGGTGATTATGATGATGAATAATTTGGTGCAATGAAGATTAGCAGGGGAAACCGAAGTACTCGGAGAAAACCCGCCCCAACGCCACTTTGTCCACCACAAATACCACTTGATCCGATCCGCGATTGAACCCGGGCCTCCGCGGTGGGAAGCGAGCGACTAACCGCTTGAGCTACGGCGCTGCCCGCTAACAGACGCTAGGGATGCTAGAATTGCTATTCAGTTTTCACGTAATGTGCAAATTAAGTAATATTTGGGAACTGGGATTGCTCAGTCGGCATAGAGATTAGGGTACTGGCCAGATTACTGGGGGATCGTGGTTCAGTTCCTTGCAGGGACAAGAGATGTTTCTCCTCTCCATAAGGTCCAGACTGGCTCTGGGACTAACCCAGCACACTATAGATTGGGTATCGGGGCTCAAGTCAGCCAGTGCGTGAATCTGAACACTTACCTCTATCTAGTGTCCAGATAAGGAATGATGGAGCTACACATGTCTTCATCACGTAATTCTTAATTAATTATCTCTTAATAATATCTGTTTGAATCTTGTCATGAGGTTTTGAGTGTTGAGATTGTAGGGAGCACCAAGTCGTGGAAGGACAAGTGAATAATGAGTTGTAAAGGATTTGGAAGGAAGCGATCTTTCCTTAATTTGAGATGCTATCCCTTCATCTCCCTGGTACGACTGAGGAAAACAAAGAAAGTTTTTTAACCCGGAAACCCTGAGATACATAGTAAAATTCAATACAGACTTAATTGAATATGGTCAAAATTAGAGAAAAAAATGTTTTAGTGATGCTTTGTGGTGTCAGTGCTGTTTTCTGTAGATATTAGCGGAGAAAATAACCGACTGGCATTTTCTTCTATAAATTTCTGTGAAATTAAAAAGTATTCTGAGATTAGGCAAAATAAGTTCTTCAGATGTAGGCCTTAAGGCTCTGACAGTGCATATTAAAAGTTTTATCTCCTGGAATATTGCGCCGTGTAGGCCGTTGAAGGTCAACACGACATTTCGGAGGAATATGTCGCCTCTATCTTCAGGTTCAAAGAATGAGCCAAGCAAGAAACCAGCATAAACTTGGAGAGAATGTTGCTTCCTTCTTCTGTGTCGAAACATTCTTCGACCCTGAAAATGGAAGTGACATGTTCCTCCGAAACACCGGTTGACTTTCAACGGCCTACATGACGTTATATTCCAGAAGATAGAAAGCTTTCAAGTTTTTTTTTTTTCAAAAACAAAACAACACTAATTCTATGGCCTGTATTCCGCAAGCGAGCTATACAGACCGAGCGACCGCCACTTGTCGGCGAGGTTAGTGCCAACTTCTGCTGATTGAGCGTGTCGCGTGGTCAGCCCAATCGATCTCCACAGCCGTTAATCTCGGTTTTCTATACCGGAACCGCTATTTCCTTGAAATGGCTCCTCAATTAACCTCACGAGGCGGTCCAAATTTTTTCAATTCTTTTTTTTATATTTTATTTGCTTGTATTTACATGACGCTTGTTATGCCGTTACGTAAGATCGTATTGGAACTTACTTCCCAAAATGAAACTTCCCTCATGACGTGTCACTCCTCCCAAGAGGGGCACGTGCTTGAACCGGCCCTCCTGGATACTCTTAAGTGGAGGCTCCACTAGGAACCTCTGGTTCCCTGCGGTTTGGATCACAGGATGGTTCCCTCCTGTGCCCCTCCCACCAGCTGCTATATCTGCAACCTGCACAGACAAATCACAACGCGAAAATGAGTCGTCTGCTCCTTTTCATTGCGCACTCGTGGAAGTAATTTGCATTTCTCACCTTAAACCCGAAATTTCCTAATTCACCGAAGACACACTGTGTCTCCTTTACGAAGACAAATCTGTTAATTGTGGATAAGATAATAATCGCCACTTATTGTATGCATTACTTACACTCTGAGGACGAAATGAAGATGCGGTGAGACTGAGTCCACTTGGCACTGCGGCCAGTGTTTGCCCTATCTTACCAGCCCCGGATGATATAAGATTATGATTATGGATCAGTCGGTGGAATGCTAATTGGCAGGGGAAACAGGAGTACTTGGAGAAAACCTGCTCCAGTGCCACTTTGTCCACCATATATCCCATACGACCTGACCCAGGCTCGAACCCTGGCTAGATTTTTGTTTAATATGAAGGCATTTGGAGCATAATCACTGCCACTTAAACGGGTTGAAGACGTGTAGGGGGACAGCTGTTTACATCTACTTGCGCTTACCACTAAACGAAGGCCATAAGTCGACTTAGCTTCAGACTACGGCCGCTTTACATGCGAGTAAATAGCCCCTGTACCCATTATATGAGAGGATGAATCGTTCATTTTATACCTCATCAAAAATCCTACACATATTTTTTTTTTTCCTTGGCACTACGGCCCCAGTGGGCCTACGCCTACGTCCATGAACTTCTCCGTTCACTTCGGTTTTTCTGGGTCTTACACATTTGGTAGGACTCCTTGGGCGGGTGATCAGCTCGTCGCGAGGCCTCTACCTGTACACAAACACAGAAAAATGCACACACACAAACTAAACATCCATGCCCTGAGTGGGATTCGAACCCACGATCCCGGTTTCCAAGCGAGCGAAGACAGTGCATGCCTTAGACCGCTCGGCTACCGTGACCGGCCTACACATAATCAGGACCTGTAAATATGGAATAAACATGCGTAGACTTTGCCTCCACGAAATTTACCTATCATAAATAATTTTCCTGGGGAGTAAAGCGCGGCCGGCGCGTAAGGCTGACAACCTTACCGCCATCTGCGAGCCGATTTTCAAGGTAATGTGGGACCCTCAACGTCTCACAACCCTATGGGCTTTCACGGCCTGTTACAGGGATAGCTTTACTTTGCTTTACTTACCATACTTAACAGAGTCTGTCCTGATAATCTACTTGTCGCTTAGCTTCTCAGGAAATTCAGCATGGTTAATGGAAATTGTAGTTTTATTACAGTGAACAAGAGAGTCCGCCACTAGCCTGTGTCCTAAGCCTAACGAATTTAATCCACTCAGACTGACCAATTTCACTTTAGAGTCATTGCCATGTTATGGTCCGCTGCACGATTAAGTCTCACAAGTTATCTTCTACCCCTTCAGTTTTCCTGTGTGTACCATATTGTAACCGAACCATTGAAATCCTGCCCCCCCTTCTTTTATATCAGTAGTTTATAAAGTAGACAGTAAGAATTACTAAGAAACAGGTTAAGACACAGCCAGAACAAGCAGATAGACCGAACTTGCGCGGACAAGGACATCTGTTAGTCCTTGCGTCCAAGCATCTGGTGTTGCTTTGAAAAGGGCAGAAATGATACTTCAAGGAACCCCACTGAGTTTCTTTAGAAATTGAGAAGTTGACTTAGGCGGCAAGCCACTTTGAGAATTCGAGCAGTGGCAGTCGCAACGAGCCGTTAGTCAAAAGTGGGAGTGCCAGGAGATCATTAGCGACCCTCATAAGTCGCACAGCTGTCAATTTCGCTATTTGGGATTTTAAGCCGAAACTACTTCTAAAACAATCGGTCATTGGCCGGAACCAAAATTAAGCCAACTCCTCTTATTTGAATCCGCCTATCAGGGAATTTAGCAGGAGGAGAGAAGAGGCGGATACAATTCAGTTAGGACCTCTGGCTCGGCAGAGAGTCCAGTTTAAGATTAAGAGTCTGCTACAAAACTTTGAACTTGGTGGAGGTAAAACCCGCGATTATACTTGCGTGTTAAGCTAAGTAATTTGAGCAAGTGCAACACCGGCTGCTTGGAAGCCGAGACTAGGCCTGATAGTGTAGATTTAGACTCCGAGTGACTGTGAGAAAACAATAAAGTGTACCAGTGGTACAGTGCATTGTGTTGGTTAGAAGTGCTTCACCCTCACTTGTCCGAGCCTGACCCTTAGCCGACCTGAGGAGAGACTCATCGCCAGGAGCTAGTCGAACCCATCGCCAGCTTCCACCCACTCACGCCTTCCCTCCTTTATAATGAATCGCAAACCGCACCTAGCTGTTTGCTGCCGCCCATAATATCAGGTTCTATCCTGAAATTCCAACCCCCGTAATCAGCAACGGAAGGAGGAAGCGGTGGAGCCGGAAGAAGCGGTGGAGCCTGGTCAAGCCGGAACCAGCCACGCCCTAACAACTTCAACGAAGGCAGCACCAGGTAGGGCAGTCAAAGTGACAAGTGGCAACCACCTTGTGGGCAAGAAGCCTCAAAAGGGTGGGCGGTTAAAATATGCTCCCCACACTTCTTCCTGCATGGTTTGATTATCCTATTTATGCTCTGTGGAGAGCCTTTCTTTTTGATACTTGTCCTAGCCTCTTGCCATATGAAATGTAATCAGAGTTCCAGCCTTTCTGACGAACACGTTGTCTATAGTAATATTAAATGTATCCCTGTACCAGCCCGTGAAGGCCCATAGGGTTGTGAGACTTTCAGGGTCCCACATTATCTAGACCGGTGTTTCCCAACCTTTTTGATGCCGCGGACCCCCTGTACCGAATGTTAATTCACCGCGGCCCCCATAAAACCCAAAATGGAAATTTTTAAATTTTACGAGTACATATCATAAAAATGAAGCAGTAACTTAAAATTTTACAACACTAAATGTGTCATTTATGACAATAAAATACTGTTATAAATGGAGATATTCGGAAGATTACGAACATATCAATAAGACGTAATATTATGAATTTAACACTCACCAAATGTGATGGCTGGTGCTGTTTTTCAGACGTCAACTTTCGATTGTCAGGATCAAAACTGGATAATTTCAGACGTAGATTTGGCTCCACGTTAAGTCTGTTCCTATATCTGTTTTTCATGTGTACAAGATGAGAAAATGTTGTCTCGCACAGATATGTAGTGGGAAATGGCAACAGATGTCTTACAGCCCTTTTAGAAATTTCAGGGTAAACAGACCTAGCTTGGAACCAAAACTCCAGTAACGGTAACGAAGGAAACAGCAATCTGAACGTCGAATCACAGGACAGCTCGATAAGTTGCTCTTCCTCGGCAGAAGGAAGTTCAAATTCAGAGTCTACAAAGGGATTTTTCATCCAGTCGTTATTTTCAAGACCAAACGGAAAATACAGACGTAGTTGAGACGCCAATGACCTCTCAATCATACTTTCAGCAACATCATTAGAAAGGGGTTGTTCACTGGAATCAATGAAATCACTCAGCATGTGAATGGAATCGTATTTTCCTTTCTCGATACGGCTGCACCACAAATTTAACTTCTGATTGTTGCCTCTATCTTGTCTTGCACAGAAAATACGGTGACAGTTGTACCTTGAAGGATCGAGTTAAGAGTATTCAAGATGTTAAAAATGTCCGCCAAGTAAGCAAGAGAGGAGAGCCATGTGAAATCATTTAAATAGTGTGTTAACTGGAATTTTGAGTTTATGAGGAACAACCTTACTTCGTCTCGAAGCTCAAGCAACCGCGTCAAAACCTTACCCCGGGACAGCCATCGGATTTCTGAGTGCAATAATAAGTGTTCGTGATCACTTCCCATTTCATTACAAAGCGCAGAAAATAATCAGCTGTTAAGAGGACGGGCTTTAATAAAATTGACAATTTTTACTGCCTCGTCTAGAACGATTTTCATTTTGGAGGGCATACGGCGTGCAGCTAATACTTCGCGGTGTATGCAACAGTGTGTCTATTTAACAAGAGGTGCGACTTTCTGGATACGTGCGACCAAACCATTATGTTTTCCCGACATTGCCTGAGC